ATGCTTGAGAAGCCATCTATTTTCAAAAGATGAAACTAACTAAAAAAGTACTATGTTTATTCAATAATATGTAGAGATCGATAGAATGTCGCTTGTTTGCAACAAAAATACTCATTTGATATGAATTGTAATTGAATTCAGTGTTTCTAATGACGTATATGTCAAACAGAAGTAAAATATACATAATATTTACTGTTTCTGACATACATTTTTTTCACATATTGCTAAGTGCAATAGCACATTGTTTTCCAGATGGTTAAATAAATTTTTTTTCAGTTGATTTCCATTATCTCGAGAAAAAAAAGTAGAGTTCTCACTTTAGAATCATCCTTTTATGAAGCAAATCGAGCACGAACAGAACTTCGTATCGAAGTTTCGAAAAAAAACTTGGTCATATAGCAACATGATATTTTGTAACAATGTTTGAACGAAAATTGTACGACGACTCGCCCATCTTTAGGTAATCGCTATACAAAATAGCAAATTCAAGTTATGTTTTGAGAGAATAACAAAAACTTGCGAAAGAATATATAAATGCTGTGGTTTGCACCGCATTAAAGAGTTGAATACAATTACGTTCACTATTCTACCACAATTCATGATTTTTGTTGACTTGACAATACAACAAACTTGAATTTCTTGCTTAATGTAGCTTCAGAGTTTTTTTTTTCTCAGATAAATAATGAACTTGTGCTTTTCAAGTACCACATATAATAGCAATTGTTTTATATATCACAATCTATTAGAAGGTTTTTAAAATAATTCCATCATATCAGTAGTTAACTACCAATATATTTTTCTCGACATCCACATTCTATTTCTCTGAGTGTTGGAGAATTAGAACAAATTGGAGATGAAAATGAATGAAAGTTTAGTCAAGAATTTTCGTGCATCAGTCTATTGTAAATTTCATGAGTTTTTGATACAATATCTATCGATTTTTAATTAATACAAAACTCGATTTGTTGTCTAATAACTGATTTGTGATGTACATAATTAAACATGCATTAAACTCATCGTTCTACTTTGTGCAATATAGAAATATGTTTTTGCGCTAAATTTAACATTTCGACCTATTCGAAAGTTTTATAATTTCATAAACAATGAGTCCAGTTTGGATTTCGGAGTGAATATACACAATGAGCTAATTTTGCAATTGGATATAGATTACAATAATAGAAAAACATAAGCACAGAATAATATCATAGATGTTATGTCTCGTTTTGAAAATAAATTAATGGTAACAGGTTCATTTAAGCATTCCTTCAGAGTAGTGTAAAAACGTGGATGCAAAAACTACTTTTTGTATCCTATGTGCAATGATTTTATTTTTCATTCGTTCGTTTTCTTGTAGAACCAGAAACGACAACAAATTTTAAAAAAAAAGAGTAAAGTACTTAAGTGAAATGAAAAGAAAATAAAACTCGAACGACAACAATAATCAGAAACAAATAGAATCATCCAGAAAAAAAGTCGAACATATTATACAAATTCAAGTCATTTCATTTTAATAGTTTCATTGATCAAACATAATACATACCATATATCAAAAGAAAAATCTGACAACAACAACAATGACTGCTGCTGTTGTTGCCATGTCATCCGAACATATGAGCGTAGGACCACAGCAACTTCATTCTGCTTGTATATTTCAGAACTTCGTCCTCATATGACTCGATGTTAATATCGATGAGATGAATGACAAAGCCTGTATCAATACCATCAGCAAATTAAGAGAAGTGGTGAACATCGTTTGGCTATGTTGCTACTTAAACTTGGTCAGGTCGACAAAGCACCAAAGGTATATGATATCCTCCTTGATCAAACAACGACTGATCGGGGAAAAAAAGATATATTTATCACTTGCTCGGATGTATGAAGGAGGATCAAGGTGAATATGCAGATGTCATTGCCTATTACAAACAGTCTATCGAAATTAAACAGAAGATTTTTTCACCAACGGATGCTGTGTTGGCTAGTTTTTACACCAACATTGGTTTGGTGTATGACAACATCAGTAACTATTCGAATGCGCTTCTTTTTTTTTTGAGCATACATTGAATATTTTACAATTTTCAATTACTTATAGATCATCCTAATCTTCTCAGTATTCAGAAGAGTATTGAAATTGTAAAAAAAGAAAATGTAGTTGAGTTTTGTTTTGTTCAAAGAAATAAATGTAATAAAAAGAGGAGAGTACTTTTCTCTTGTCTTTTAAAGAGATATGCATCGCGTGTATACGAAAAAACTGTCTTATTGAGAATACAATAGTACGATGCTCGCCGATAATACAATCAATACATGTCTAAATGATGGAAGTTTATTGTAAATAGAAGAGTTTCACAGTGTTGTTTGTGTTTTAATAAGGACAGTTTCTCTCTGTTGGATACAACCATCCGACAGGTTGGTTGAAAAGCGAAAGAAAATTTCTGTGATTCATACAATGAATTATATTTTCTATTCCAATGTAAGAATTATTCAGTGTATGAAGAGAAATGCAAAAACAAGAAAAATGTTCGGTGATTGAATGATTTATTTTCATCTATAGGTGAATTACTGTTACATATGAGACAGAAAGAATACTTCCACTATGACATAGAAATAATTCATTTTATTAACGAGAGTGAAAAATAATGATTGAATACATTGAAAACAATGATTTTATGTACGATTGACAAACATGATTTGTTTTGTTTGTTTTTGGAAAAGAAAATTACAAGTAATCGGTTTGTTGTTTATTCATAGAAAGACAAAACCGGTTGTCAATTAATTATTTAATATGAGAAGAAAACAGAAAAACACATAAAGAATAATTAAAGAATGAAAAAGAAAAACATTCATGAAATAGTATCATTGACATGAAATGAAGCATGAAATAGACAAAGCATATGATTATAATCATTCTAAATAATTTCAATTTCATTGTTGTGTATCGTTCGTTTGAATAGTATTTGTTTGAGAAATAAAATAAGATAAGAGTTCGAATTCAAAAATTGATACATCAATCTATTCAACAATGAATATCGATAAGAAAAATATTAAAAAAAAAAAAAGATAAGCTTATTGATTCATTTCTTCTATGATCGAAATCTTAGAATTTCAATTTTTCTTTTTATATTTGTTATTTTGTTTTTGAATGGCAGTCAAACTTCATAGTATTTTTTTCTTTATGTTGTTTAAAATAAATAAAAATTCAATAGAAAAAAAATTTTCAAATATGTTTATGTCAACTAGTTCGTACGTCATTAAAATTCTGTCTATGTTAAATATTAAAAAGCATATATGTAGATCGACTATGAAATGAAGCAAAGATTTATGAATATCATCTAATCAAAATAATTTGATCAATTTCATTTTAAGTCAATTTTGAATAAATATATATACATAACAATAGAAACAACTTCTCAAATTTGTCTTTGAGATGCCTTCTATAGGTCATACGTTGTTCTAGTTAAATGTTCAGGAAAAAGTATTAGGTATTGAGATTTCTTGACGAAATTATTGCCGTTTAAAACCTTTTAGTTACTATTCTGAGTAATTTGTATTCACTTAAAATTTTGTTGAATACTGAAAAATTTGATATTTTTGATTTCATTCTTTTCTCTTAAATCTTATATTTTCCAAGATATTTTCATACATGATTTTTCAATTTATTTTATTTTCATACTCATACACTAGTAGTTTTTGGTTTATTCCGTAGAATAATTGTCTAAAAAAAGAAGATAATAAGCAACATTAATACAGAAATATACGAAACTAATCTATTGTACAAGTATACAATATTACAATAGGTTATTTTTATTTTTGTCATAAACTTTGCCCAACAATTAACATGACGAACGATAATCATTCGTCCATAACAAACAAAAACAACAATGACGAACAATATTTGTTAATCTGCTTGATTTACTCTTTTGATCTTAAACGATTAGTTAAATTATATATAATTCTATCTTCAACTTTCTTTCATATCAAATACTAGTATTTGAATATAAGATTTTTTTTTTTTTTGTATAGACTTTTATATATTTTCGTTGAGTAAATAAATCAAGATTATTTTCATGACAGAATTTAGACAATGATATTCATCTAAACAAATAAAAATAAATCTTTTATCAATTTTATTTTATTTTCAAGAAACAGATCTTCGAAGGTGATGATAAATAATGAATCAGAGAGAGAGAGAGAGAGAGAGAGAATAAAGTGAATAATCGAGAGTATTTATTTAAAATCATATTTATATCATGGATTTCTTAATGACTACTTTACAGTTTCTTTCTGACTTCGATCATCTGATTGGTCAAAAGGTAATTATTCTGATTTACAGAAACTTTGATTTCAGTAGAGCATGATTAACTTTTTTTTAATTTATTTATTTATCAATCCACATTGTAAGCTTCGTTTTCAATCGAGTGAAACTCGAATGTCGTTTAGTTTTTTGCATTATATTGTAGAGAAAGCACAGAATTCCCACTTCAATATTGTCATTTTGTGAAACGAACGAAACTTTGTATTGAAGTTGCAGAAAAAATTGACCATATAGAAGCATGAAACTTTGTAAAAATGTTTGAATGAAAATCGTACGACTCAACAGTATATTTTGACCATCGCAATACAAAATAGTGATTTCGAATTATAGGTTCTGAAAAAAAAAATATCATGATCGACTATGATACAATCCATCGCATTGTTAATAGTAACTGTGACTCATTGTATCATTTTGTAACACTTGATTTGTTTTTTTTTCTATTCTCCAATCTTGTAATGATTGTATGAGATAAAAAAAAAAAAAACTATATTTTTCGTTTACCAACCTTATTTTATAGTCGATACAGAGGTTACGCTGAATTTCTCGATGATTGGAAGAAAAATAAAAATTCGATCTTTGACATTGTTGATTTTTGAAACACAAGACTTCTCAACATTGAATATCACTCAGTGACAGAGAAATCACATATTAACATTTTACAATGATGGATATAATTTAATATTCTTGATGTCATAATATTAAAAAAAGCACACTTCGAAATTCACATCAATAAAGATTTGTTTTTCTTATAGAATTCAATCGAAATTCGTTGGTTTTCTTTTTTGTATATTTATCTTTTGAAATAAAGAATGATTCAATTAAATATTTATTATATAAAATAAATACATGACTATTCTATATTCAACAACTAATATGATTTGAAAGTGACGTATGCGAATAGCAATACATGTTTAAGAAACACGATGATTTTAAATATTTTATGGATGGATGCACAATTATTCATGACTAACAACATGTAGAATAATCCAAAAAGAGAAAAAAAAAACAACGCCATAAAGTAAACACATTAAATTAATGTGTGCTTTCGACTAATCTCGTACGTAACGTTTGAAATCGGAAAACATAAAAATAGTGTTTAACTATAGATAATGGTTTGATGAGATTGTTATCGACGCATATTTTTTTTCATCTCTGTTTTTGTATCGTTGTAAAATGTTTGCTGTCGATAAACAATAATAATCGAAAAAAAAAAATCAGAGCAATAAACTGCTGACATAAATGCGTAAAATGGTTAAACGTCAAAGTTATTTAAGAATAAGAGAAAATAGGTAAGGTTTATTTTCTTTTCATTACAATAATCAACAAAATTAGTGAAAGTTATTAAAAAGGAAAAGAAATGTAAAGCTGACTTGCTTGACTGCGTCTAGTCATATTAATGTGTATATAAATCAGTGTGGATTGGTGGTTTTTATTATAGTAAACATTTCGATATCAATACATTATCATCTACACTATTAGAAAGAATACAACAAAATGTCTACTGCTGATGCTGTATTCTCTCAAGCCGATGTAAATCAAGATCAAGTACTTGATCCAAGTGAATTTGAAAATCTTACCACCGGTGGTAGTCTTTCATATGATACATTAGGCTTAGGTGTTGATGATTATTCATATGGTGGATTAGGCTACGATTTTGGTGGTTACGGTTACGGTTACGGAGGTGATCATTTTTATTCAGGATATGGACTTGGCGGTGGTAGTTATGATTTAGGATCATTGTACAATTCATCATATGGTTATCTTGGTGGTAACTCATCATATCTTGGTGGTAACTCATCATATCTTGGAGGTACAGTTGAACTTATAGATCCTTATCTAGCTGGAGGCAACTATTTATCTACATCACAAATAACTGGTGGTTCACATTATGCAGCCAATGCTCAAGGTCTCTATCTAGATCCGAATCCACGAATTTTACGTCGTCCAGCAACAGGTGGTGGTGTAACTTATGCACAAAATATTAAAGTTCGATTTCTTCAACCACCACCTGTTCCACCACCAGGCGTAAGTTGTTTTTTTTTTGTTCGTCTATTATTTTACAATGTTATTTATATCATAGCCACTTATCGTCAAAGAAGTGCGACCACCTCAACCACCACCACCACCTCCAGTTCGTGTTCGTCAACAAGCTCCACCTCTTCCTCCACCGCCTCCACTTGTCTTACGTGAACATCCACCAGTTCGGCCAGCTCCTGTTCCTTCTAAAACTGGTAGATAGAAAACAAAAACAAAAACTCTTTTCAATTTCTTGTATTTATATTGATTTTTTTTCTTTCAAGTTATCCGACGATTACCTGGTCTTCCTGTTCCACCTCGATCAGTAATTGTCGAACGTTTTCCACCGCTTCCACCTAGACCTCGTATGTCTCTATTTTCTTTTTTTGTAATATTTTTCTTAATCAACTAATTATATTTAGGTGATATTATCATTGAACGATGGCTTAGATATGGACCACGAGCTAGACGACGAACAATTGTTCAACGTGCACCACTACCTAAACCATATCCAATACCACGCAATATTATCATTCAACATGATCGTGCTCCAGCAAATATTGTTCGACGAGTTCAATTTCTTGGTGTTACTCAAACAGATCCTCTACTATATATTCAACGCTATGGAGGAACACTTTTGGATGCTTTTTCATTAGTACAACGAGCACGTGCTGCTGGTGTTGTGGAAAATATTGTATGTTATTTAATGTTACAATTTCTGTATAAATAAATTTTCTTATCTATTTAGTCACCATCTGGTTTTGCTGGTTCATCTCAAATCGTTTCGTCAATTGGTAATCTCGGTTATGACGTCTACGGTGGTTATGGAGGTTATGATATCTACGGTGGTTATGGAGGTTATGACATCTACGGTGGTTATGGAGGTTATGACACTTTTGGTCTTGGACTTGGTGGCATTGTATATCCATCATCATATGACACAACTGGTGCTGACTTTTCAACATTTGGTGCTGATTTAGGAGGCACTGATTTAGGAGGTGGTGATCTTATCGGAACTGGTCTTGGTGGTGCTAGTTCGTTTGAATCATCATCATTCAATGGGGCAAATGATTCAATACTTGGCGAAGCAGCAATTCGTGATGAAACAATTATTCGTACAACAGTCAGTGATGAAGGAGTTTCTGAGGGAACAACAGTTCGTGTAGGTACACCGGTTCGCACTGTAGCAGATTCTATTGCTGATACCAACCGTGATGGTATTGTATCTCCACGTGAAGCTGACGCTGCTAGAATTTAAAGTAATACAATTATTTTTTTTTTATTTTCTTTTTATATTATGTACATTATTTAGGAAGTTACAATCGGTATAAATGAAGTGATACGTAGAAAGCATGGTTTTTATTTTATTTATTTTGAACAAAATTCAATCTCAAAATGTATCCACTTCGTTTTTTTTCTTGAATAACAAAAATATGATTCATGTTGCTATAAATTTTCGCTTAATTTCAATCATTTCTACTGGTTTTTCTGTTAATATGTACGGAACGAATCGAATAAAAATAAATTATTTGATTTGAAAATTAATAAAAATCATGATCATAATCATTATGATTCTAATTAATGTTTGTTTTTTGTTTTTTTTATTTATTTAAGCAAGGAATATGCAAAACAAGAAACTAAATGACAACAACTAATACAATAATTTCTTATGCATATGTATATAAAAACTAAAAAGCAAGAAATGCAGCAAATGAATAAATAATTAATGTAAACAAAAAAATATAATCAAAGAGAATGAGCAAACGAAGCAGAACGAATGTATATGATGTAAAAAAAAATTATTATTTAAAAAAAAAAAAAAGAAAAACCTACAGAAAGAAGTAGAAATTCTTGTCCTTGTCACATGAATTCATATGTTCTTCTTTATAATTTATGAAAACGAATATTAATTAATCATGTGTATTATTCTCTAAAAGAAAAATATTATTATAACAAATGAAATTTCCTATCAAAAAAAATGTTAATTTTATTTACTAGTGCACAAGATGGGAACTAAGAAATTGACGAAATTCATTAACATCGAGTGTTCCATCTTTATTAATGTCTGCAGCTTGGAACGCAGCAGCAACCTCATTCATACTGTTAATAGGAATAGCACCAGATGATGCATTATAACTTTCATATCCTGATACACCAGTACCCCCGAATGCCATATTACCACCTTGAAATGCTGCTGAACCTGTTTCATATGATGATAATGATGATGAAAAATCTTGAGTAAGACCAACACCTTGTGTTGATTCAAAACCTGAAAGATTAGCACCTCCCTGTTGACTACCACCACTGTAACCAAATGATTCAAAAGATGATGCTGAAGCACCAAAACCACCACCAATTGTTTCAATTCCAGAGCCTGCATTAAATGATGTTAAACTTGCTCCACTAGTGGCAAAATTACTTGGTGGAGACTAAAAATTATTAAAGCAGAAGAAAAAAAAAATACAAACAGAGATTAAAGACATATATAATGAAATATTCTATCATCTTACAATATCTTCGATAACACCAGCAGTACGTGCTTGTTGTATTAATGAATGAGCATCTAAAAGTGATGCTCCATAACGTTGAACATATAGTTGAGGATTTTCTTGAGTAATACCAAGACGATGAAATTGTCGAATAACACGTACTTGAGCGGGCTCATATTGAATGATCATATTGCGTGGTTTTGGATATTCTTTAGCAGCTGCAGCTCGTTGAACAATTGTTTTTCGTTTAGCTTGTGCTCCATATGGAATCCATCGTTCGATGATAATATCACCTAAATATAATTAGTTGATTAAGAAAAATATTACAAAAAAGAAAATAGAGACATACGAGGTCTAGGTGGAAGTGGTGGTAAACGTTCGACAATTATTGATCGAGGTGGAACAGGAACAGCTGGTAATCGTCGAATAACTTGAGAGAAAAAAATCAATATAAATACAAGAAATTGAAAAGAGTTTTTTTATTCCTATCTACCTGTTTGAGAAGCAATAGGAGCCGGTGGAACTGGTGGTCGTTCACGTAAAACAAGTGGAGGTGGTGGAGGAAGAGGTGGAGCTCGTTGACAAATACGAAGTGGAGGTGGTGGCGGTGGTTGAGGTGGTCGCACTTCTTTGATGATAAGTGGCTATAATATAAATAACATTGTAAAATAATAGACGAACAAAAAAAAAACAACTTACACCTGGTGGTGGAACAGGTGGTGGTTGAAGAAATCGAATTCGAATGTTTTGTGTATAAGTTACACCACCACCTGGTGCTGGGCGACGTATAATTTGTGGATTCGGATCTTGATAGACACCTTGAGTATTGCCAGTGCCTAATTGAAATTGTTGTTGTGAAGTACTTGTTTCAAATGTTGATGGCATAGAAAATCCTGCAGTTTCACTTGAAAAGCCGACATCAGATGATGAACTTGCTGTAAAACCACCAAACCCCAATCCTGATGATACGTTAGCATTAAATCCATAACTACCGGCACCTGATAATGCAGTTGCATCGAAACCACTAGCATCAAGACCAGATGCCGATGTATAAGATGATTGCCCATATGAACCATAGCTTGATTCACCACCGGCAGTACCTATACCATTTATGTTTGTCCCTATTAATTCAGCACCAGCACCATAATTGCTATTAGCAATATTTACATCACTACATATAGCTGATGGTAACGATTCATAAGAACTCGTTGTATATTGTCCACCACTATGAGCGTTTGCTCCATAATTTGTCGAACCAAATCCTAAATTTCGTGCAATAAGTTGACGAAATTCATTTAAATCAAGGCGCTGATCCTTATTTGTATCTATTTAATAGAAAATAAAATAAATTTATCAGAAAAAAAAATCTAAAAATTAATACCAGCTTGGTTAAACAATTCATCAGCCATAGTAATGGAAATATGTCACTGGGGACGATATTCAATGAAACAAGGATACGTGAAACTTGTTTGCTTCTCATTTTAAATACCATGATTGAAATCAATGATGCAAACCATATATGACAAGGCCATATTTCGTCTATCATCACACTTTCATACACAAAGATATTTTCATGACAATTCTTTTGCATTCGTATTTTTACCTGTCTCATTTATCATTTATTTTCCTATTGCAACTATCGTATCAAAGAAAAAAAATAGTCAATCATTTAGCAATATCTCTGTCTCCCCTATAGCGATGGTAATCACAACTTACTCTAAATAGTCTGAAAACCATCATTAATAGATAGGCAATTAATTATGAAGTAAACCTTAAAAAGTATTTTGTGGCAAGTCGTTACAGACATGCGATAATGATAGAAATATATATTTAGAAAGATATCAATTTATCATAGCACTTTCATGCTTATTAGATTGTTTATTTTAATGATTGCAACTTTATACATAAGAAGAAAAAAAAATGTAATATATTTCAAAATAAACATTGTTAATTTATCATACGATTATATGACAAAAATGAAAATATTCAAAAAATGCGCCTATGAAGAAAAAATATTCAAAACAAAAAAAAACGAATTAAATGAATCGAATTCGTTGTGATTTTTTTCATATTAATAATTGTTGTTTACATCAATTGTAATGTCATATTCAATAGAAGAACGTACACAAAATATGCGTAATCAACCAAAATCATTCATTCTTAATACTAATGATGGTATTGGTTTAGGATTAAATTCAAAAAAATCTACATTTACAGTTGAAGATTATATTTATCGAGCACGTTTAGCAGAAAAAGCTTTACGTTATGAAGATATGTTAATACAAATGAGAAATGTACTTGATTTAAAAAAGAAATTAACTGCTGATGAAAGAAATTTACTTGTTGTTGCTTATAAAAATGCTGTTACAACACGAAGGACAGGTTTGTGTGTATACGTATTTGAAATCATACATAAATTATTTATTGATTTTTTTTTCCTCATAGCTATTCGTCATCTTTCAGTTTATTGTAAAAAACTTGATGAAACAAAATTAGCACAAGTAAAAAACAATCAAGAATAAATGAATATTAACAATTGAAAAAAAAAAATTTTTTTTTTCTTTGTTTATTAGATATGTGAACAATATCGAGAAGAAATTGCAAATGAATTATGGAATTTATGTCAAGAATTACTTAGTAATAAGTATTCAAAAGAACAAGAAAAATATATCTTGAATATCTACTAAAATTTTAGCTATTGTAAAAGATATTCTCACACCAAATGCTCGTAATGATGCGGAACAAATAGCATTTTATGAACGTATGAAAGGTGATTTTATACGATATGAAATTGAAATAGCATCATCAAATCTTAAAGAATCATTACAAAATGAAGCTAATCATTGTTATTTAAATGCAAAAGAATTAGCAGAAAATAATTTACCTGCATATCATCCTGTACGTGTTGGAATAATGCTTAATTATTCAGTTTTTTGTTTTAATTCAAAATCTAAAGCTGATAATGCTTTAAAAATCGCTAAACAAGCATATGAAGTAAATAAATCATCATCATTATTTAAAAAAAAAAAAACGAATTTTTCTTAATTAGGAAGCGCTAGCTGATTATGATCAATTACATAATGAAGAAATGCGTCGTGATGCACATGCACTTATGAAATCTCTTCAAAATAATATGAAACATTTTGCTAAAGGTCCTGGTAATGAAATTGAAGAAATATAAGTTTTGTTTTTATATTTCAATCATATTATATCATCATTCTTTTTTTTTTTTTGTTCATATGTACGATATTCTGTTTCATGTAGTTTATTTTTTTCTTTTAGTAAACGTTCAATATAATCTTTCATTGTACAAGGCTTGTTCTTTCTGTTTCTGTTCAAAACTATGTAATTCGAACTCGATATTAAACCAAAAAAAAAAGAGCATACAATATGAGTCCAATTAGAATACCATAGGTAGAAATAGTTTTAATGAACTTTATCATAATATTCTCAATTACAATTTATGCAAGTTTTTTCGAATGTTTTGATGTTCTAAAAATCGTAAGTTTCATTTCAATGCTTGTCTCATTGAATAATCATATGAGAATATTTTTTTTTAAATCGATACATCAATTCTATTTTCATTATTATTAAGATAAAATTTGAATATTCATTTCGATACAAAAGAAAAAAAAAAGAATATCTTATTGTACTAAAATATTCTATAAGTAGTACTATCATTAAATACATTTTATTTTTCTTAATTGAATGCAATGAAACGTATGTTAGTAGAAAACATGAACAGTTTTCTGTTTTACCTATCGATATTTTTATTTAACTAGAAAATAAATAATAGTACTATTATATTATTCTTTAAATCGAATTCTTCTTCAGTGAAAAATCATACTGAATATTGATAAATTAGTCAAATATAAAATCGGAACATTTTTATATTGCTGATTGATAGTTGAGCAAAAAATAAAGATATAACTACGTTTCTAATGAGACATAACCAATTCTTATGAGTATTTAATGTTTATTTCATTAGAATATATGAGAGTGCGTAATCAGTTAAGTTGCCCATCGTTATTCTTTTTCTTCTATAACCTTATCTATATATCAGAAAAGTATGATACATTATATTGATCGTTTGTTTTTGTTCGAATTCTGTCTCTTGTAAATTAAACGACTTGTCAACGACTTTCTCAATATTATTTTATCGAAGACATATCTATAATTAAAAGATTCGATGAAAGATTGTGACAAATACGTAAATCTTGTTATTTACATTGAGATAGGACTTTAAAAAAAAACAAATTATTAGCGTTATGATACCAAAAATAAGATTGTTTTGGTATATGACTGAGGTTGTAGAAGGCAAAAAAATAATAACTGAAGGTATTCTATCTGATTGAGACACCATCGTATATTTGTATATGTGTATATGTCATTTCTTGAGGTAGATTTCTATCGGATAATGATTTATTTCTAATTCTAGTTTTGAAAACAAAACTATGAGTGTTTAGTATTAGATTAGACAATAGAAATTTTTAATTTCATCAGATTCGTCGAACTTAATAATCTCTTATTTAATTTTAAATATGAAATGAAGGTTGTAAAACATCTTTTTTTTTTTTCTTTCCTTCAAATCTTTTATGATTAGTTTATAGAAAAAAAATTCGATAATAAAAACAAAAAAGAAAAAGGTCCGTATAATTAACTCTGTATGTTATAGTATTCACAATATGTGTGTACATGAACGAGCACGAAGAACACACAGGGTTAATTTTTAATCGGAAATCAAATGAAAAATGTTATGTATATATATAAGGTGCATTTCAGTAGTGATGATGATGATGATGCTGAAGGTTAAGAAGAATAGATCTCAATTGTCAAAAAGAGAACTCAAATAAAAAAAAAGAAATCGAGATAAGTACTATCCATCGAATGATGAGAGAACGAGCAAAATGCTAATGTAATCAAAAGAATGAATATATCTATATATATATATATATATATAGACTTCTCTCTTTTCTTTCTTTTTTTTTCTCCAGATACCTGGTTAATGCATGAACACACGTAGTGATGATGATGATTGTGATGCAATGAACATGACATGGAAAAGTGAGTGAAGCGTTTTATAACAAGGTTAAAGTTAAAAAAAAAATGTATATATAAATATATTTCGATTATGTTATAAAGAATTTGTATCTTTTTTTTTGTCATTTCACATTCAATATATTTCTTAATTATCTTCGAAGAAAAATGTTAACAGATTTTTCTTTTTTATCTATTATGCTATCAAAATAATTAACTATGTCCGACGCATGTTTTCTTTCAAATATTATGAAGAAAGTCAAGAAATGATACTAATAATAATAATAATAACAATAATAATAATAATGACAATATTATCTTTGGCTTTATTCAACTTGTGTTAACTGACTTATTAACATTGTACATTTATAAAGTAGTAAAGACAGACGAATGTGTTTATTTTTCGCATGTCATTTGTCTTCATTAACAAGCATGCAACTTATAACGAGATGTTTGTTCAATATATACCGTACTTTTGATCAAATGAAGATCGATTGAAAATCAACAATGAATAGGTACTTGTTTAAAAAGAAAAACTTCTTCGTTTCTTTTTTTTTTCTTCTTTATATTGTTGTGAATTATTTTAATTTAGACAATTGGTGACTTAATTTTCATTGTTCATATACATTCGCATGGGTGTGCATGAAGATATATCTATAGAAAGAAGGAAGCATTTGTATACGCCTTTTTTTTTAGCTACGACTTTCCGGTTGCTTGATTGAACAATTACAATCTACAGTGTTAACCGATGAAAAAAAATCAAGTGGCTTCTTTCTTTTTTCTTCTATATATATATATATTTATAGGCTGACAGACGATTAAGACCTTTTCTGTTCAAGACATGAAGTCAAAAAAAGGAGGATACTCGAATTTTAATAGAATTTGTAAGTATCACTAGGTTATATATGAATCCTAAATTGAATTTGCCTCTATTGAGCATAAAAAAGAGAGAACAAGAAAAGACAATCAGTTATGAGGTAAATTGATTATCTGTCTTCCTCTTGGTTCTTTCATTTTTCTTTTTCTTTTTCTTTTTTTTGTTCTCATTGTCAAGCACCTGTCTGAAGATGACCTCATTTATATTATTGCGTATTTGCTTTCTATTTTTTTTCTTCTTTTGCTCTCTTTTTTTGTTTTATCCATATAATCGATGACTACTAGTCCCAATGAACGTAAAAGCAAATTTCGCGCATTCAGATCATCGGAAATCGTCTCACGATGATTTATTCTCATAGGAGCGAGAGAGACAAGACAGAGAAGAACAAAAAGAAACACCAGAACGGACGTCAAAGAAAGAAAATTTGTTTAGCAAGCCGAAAATCTCTTGAGTGTTCTTTCTGCTCATTGATCAAACTCGTTGTTCTTCATCATC